GTCACAGATAAGCGTTATGTTACTTGACGCTTGGCGACAAAGAAGTAGCGACGAACGAGAGACAAGTAGAATGGAAAGAAGTAACACATGGGAAAATGAATACCAAAAACAGCAATGAAACGTCGAACTACTTGAAATGTGATTTTAGAAACTACATGTTGCATGTGAGCAGCTGGAAGGGGGGGGGGCTGACATCACACTTTCTATTGCGCACAAGTTTAACACTATTATTCGCAGACACGCCAGCTTTAACATGAGATCTCACAAAATAATTTCACTTAGTTCAATTTAGCTGTTGTCGATAATAGTCCCACAATGCTTCGCATCATCGATGTTGCTCAGGTCAGCAGAGTCCAATTATACCGAATTTGAATAAATCCTGAGAAACTTCTGGGAGCAGAGAGTGCAGTTTCTGTGTTCCGTTGGTCTTTTCGGTACCACCGTGTGCGGCAGACGCCCGCTTACTTTTAAACGCCCGCGTGCAGCCGCTCGCCGCCTGTGTGCGGCAGACGCGTTACCGCCCCGCGTGGCGCTGTGTGGGGCAGACGCGTTACCGCCGCGTGGCGCTGTGTGTAACAGACGCGTTACCGCCGCGTGGCGCTGTGTGTAACAGACGCGTTACCGCCGCCCGTGGCGCTGTGTGTAGAGACGCGCTTACCGCCGCGTGGCGCTGCTGTGTGAGAGTACGCGTTACCGCCGCGTGGCGCTGTGTGTAATAGACGCGTTACCGCCGCGTGGCGCTGTGTGTAAGAGATGCGGTATTTAGGGAGGAATTCCATGCGAAGTTCAATTCAGCCAAGAATTCCCGGAATTACTCGGAGCTGATTTCGCTCGTTGATCGAGGCACGCGAGATGCTGCCTGGCTGAACTATGCTAAACCTCATACACATGTATATAAACCTCACTCAACGTAAATACAGCGACAGTACGCCCGCGTTGTGCGTGGACAGTGTGTGACAAACAGTATAGTAGTATGTTATTGTAGTGCACGACGCTAACTCACAAGTGATCGGTAAATTTACCACTTTGCCGAAAATCTTCGCGTAACGTTAGTTCAAGATGAACTTGTGCACAATTTAGAGTGGCCGGCCCATTGTACGATTCTAGACTAGAGCGTTTGTTTTGCGCGTGTTTGTATGCACTCGGCAAGAGAAGGACGCATAAATTATTATTGTATTATCATTTCATTATCATTATCATTATCATTATCATTATCGTTATCATTGTCATTGTCATTATCATTATCATTATCATTATCATTGTCATTGTCATTGTCATTGTCATTGTCATTATCATTATCATTATCATTATCATTATGCATTATCATTATCATATCATTATCATTATCATTATCATTATCATTATCATTATCATTATCATTATCATTATCATTATCATTATCATTATCATTATCATTATCATTGTCATTGTCATTGTCATTATCATTATCATTGTCATTGTCATTGTCATTGTCATTGTCATTGTCATTGTCATTGTCATTGTCATTATCATTATCATTATCATTATCATTATCATTATCATTATCATTATCATTATCATTATCATTATCATTATCATTATCATATCATTATCATTATCATTATCATTATCATTATCATTATCATGTATCATTATCATTATCAATTATCATTATCATTATCATTATCAATCATTATCATTATCATTATCATTATTATTATTATTATTATTATTTCCAAAGTGGATCACGGCATTAGCCGGTGGCTTCTTGTTGACCGTGCTCCCAACCTGGACATATAGGATTCAATCTAGAATTTTTCGCCAGGATGTGTGCTGTTCCCAGTAGTGCGATTTTTCTACACTTCTTGGCAGTGTGCGCGGCCAGGGAGTTCCGTTAATGTTCTTCTCAAAACCATTCATTATAGAGCCAAGGGCTCCAACCACCACTGGCACAATTCTCGTCTTAGTATTCCACAATGGTGCCTCCTAATTTCGATCTCCAGATCTTTGTACTTGGTGAGTTTGTCTCTTTCCTTCATTATGATGTTAGAATCATCTGGTACGGCTACGTCAATCAACAGGCATCGTTTTGATTGTGGAGCACTATATCAGGGCGGTTTGCAGGTATCGTGCGATCTGTCTGCATGCACTGCCATATCCCACATTATGGTAGTATCTCCGACGTTGGTAACTGGTCTCGGAGTATGTTCATACCACTTGTCAGGTACTTGCTCACCAAGTTCACTGCAGATTGACCAGTGCAGATAGCTGGCTACCTTGTTATGGCGATTTATGTACTCGGTTGGGGCCAGCACTGTGCATCCGGCGATGATGTGGCTGATGGTTTCCTCTGCCTTGCTGCACATTCTGCACTTGCTGTTGACCTGTTGCTTGAGGCCTGTCGAGGCTCTTGTAGAATCTTCCATGCAAAGGCTTGTTGTTCAATACCTTCGATCTTCTCTGCTTTTATATTGGCCTTCAGTCTCTGCTTTGTTGAGGATTGGCTGGTGGGCTGAGGAGACAAGTATTTGGCTTTTATTATTATTATTATTATTATTATTATTAAGCGGATCAAATGTCTTTGAAAAAGAATTCTTGCGCACGTTGTTACGTGTTTATCGCTTAATCGGTACCACATCTTGATCAGGGAATTTTCATTGTTCACGAACTGGCCTGATAAAGCGAGCACCATTTTATTATTAATAACTTGTTTTTTTATACTTAGTCTCAATCGTAGTCATCATTCAATCGAAACAGAACGAATGAATCTTGGCACCTGCTTGCGTCAGTGTCGCGCATGCGCGTTCGCTGCTACCAAACTTCACGCATGTTTTTCAAACGTCACTGACGACAGCGGCAGTGGGCGTCATGGTTACACGAAACCTCAAAATTGCTTAATTTGATCGAAATTATTAAACCGCTCTCTATACTTAGGGAGGAAAAGGAACAAGACGTCTGTGACAGTATAGCAATCACGCATCCTACTTGCTGTCTGCGCACGTACACTACATGTTATGCATGCCATGTAATAACAGCGCAATTAGCATGCATGTACGCATATATGGAGGCGGGAAGGAGACGTAGGGCGTACCGGTGCTTGTATGGTTGAATAGCTCGCGTGATAATTCCACGGTCGGTCTGTATTACAACGTACGTGACGTCAGTAATGTAGCGTTCTAGGTTTCGCTCTTTCTCTTTCTCTCTCGCTCTCTCTCTTTCCGTCTCTCTCTATCTCTCTCTCGCGCTCTCTCTCTCTCTCTTTCCGTCTACATTTCTTTCTCTCTCTCTCTGTCTCTCGCTCTCGCTCTCTCGCTCTCTCCGCCTCTGCTCCGCTCTCGCCTCTCGCTCTCTCGCTCTCGTCGCTCTTCTCGCTCTCTCGCTCTCTCGCTCTCGCTTTCTCTCTCTCTCTCTTCCTCTCTCTTCTCTCTCTTCTTCGTGCTTCGCTGCTCGCTCTCTCTTTCTCTCTCTCTTCTCATTCGCTCTCGCTCTTTCTCTCTCTCTCTTTCTCTCTCTCCCTTTCCGTTTATCTCTCTCGCGCTCTCTCTTTCTTTCTGTCTATATTTCTCTCTCGCTCTCTCTTTCTCTTTCTCTCGATATATCTTATCGCTCACTTCGCTCTCTCTCTCTCTCTCGTCTCTCGTCGATCTCTCTCTCTCTTTTCCGCCTTCCACTCTATATATCGGCTCTCCTCCCCCTTCGTGGACTCAGCCATGATAATGATATCAATTAATTTCTCTATTGTTAATCTCACCCTTCTATCTCTTTAATCTGCTGACAGCTTCAAAACATGACGATGATGACGATGGGTTATGTCAGGGTCGCGCTGCTGTTGTTTCCGTTGCGTGTTAATGCATGACCGATAGCTAGTGCATGAGGATGAACTCAGCGAAGGGAGCAGACCGATCCACACAAGCTTTCTCCTTCGCGTCTAGCTAACAAATGCATAAATTAGTAGAACTATAACAATTAGTTGCAAATTATAGATCCTCTAGCGATAAAACATTTTAACGCAATACGTCTTCTATTCGAAATCGGGCCACGCAGGTAAATGCTCTGATAACAATTACGTTTTCATTTGAAGAGGTAGTTTAGATGAAACAGGTCCAACCATTAGTTTTCCAGTGAAACATATATCCCCGTCTGGGAAGACACAGTAATCATTGTATCGTACCTTTGAAACCGTTCTGAAAGTCGCGCCTATAATAACGAGTTTTCTAGTTTGGAAATTACCCCTCGTCATAATAGGGTGTTTACGTCCGGTGGCAAGCAAACAGAAACGACGGAGTATTCTACGAATTTTTAGTACGTTGTTGCAGGTAAACGTGATTGATATGCAACTCCGCGTAACGGTGCGGCCGCGGCGGCAAACGGGATCCGATAGACGGAGTATGACATCAGCGCGACAACGGATTGGCAAACAGAGTATATATATATATATTATAATTATATTCATTAATAGTATATATATTTATATATATATATATACGTATATATATATATATATTATTATATATATATATATATATTCCAGTGACATTGTTTTTAGATTTTCAGGAGGTATTTATTAATTCTTTAATAGGAATATATATATATTATATATATATATATATATATATATAAATATTATGCTATATGTTGTAGTGTTGCGTGTGTTTGTGTGTGTGTGTGTGTCTGGTGTGTGTGTGTCCGTGTGTGTGTGTGGTTGTGTATGTGTGAAATATAGACGCTTGTGCTAAAGCCAACTCTAAAGCTACGCAGCCGTTAAACAAGCAGCTTGTCTCGCACATTGTCAGATCCGACATGGGATCGGCTAGCGGCCGATAAGAGACCGGACATGAGAAATTTTCGGATTCGAGACTCGCGGAAAGCGAAACGGACATGCGCGAACTTCGATTTGGCTGCGGCCAAGCGGCCCGACATCCGACGCGAATTTCGTGAGATTCCGGACCTCCGCGGCAGTGCGAAACGGTAACTATGAGGAAATTTGGATTCGGATTGGGCAAGCGGCCTGACGCATTACGCCTATTCCTTTCGGGCTCGGGCCAAACGCCTCCGATATGAACCGGTTGAGATTTGCAACACGATTAGTTTACTGGGGAAATTAAGTTAGCTGGGCGGCTACAACGATTCCCGGAGAGAGCGATTAGCTGCGCGTGTACAAGCATCCCCCGGGGAGCAGGTTAGCTGCGCGTGTACAACATCCCGGCACGAGAGGTAAGGCTGCGGTGTACAACATAATCCGCGGCGAAGCCCGTTAGGCTGCGCGGTCTTACAACATCCCCGGGGCAGAGGTTAGCTGCGTGTAACAAACAATCCCCGGGAAAGGTGTAAGACTGGGGCGTGTACAAATCCCGCGGGAAGGTTAGGCTGCGTGTTAAAACATCCCGGGAGAGGGTTTAGCTGCGCGTACAACCCACCTCCCCGGGGACGAGGTTAGGACTGGTCGCTTACGAACATTCCCCCGGGGGAAAGACGGTTAATGCTGGCGTGTACAAACATCACCCGGACTTATGACGAGGCTTGAAGCTGCCCGTGATTACACACAGCCCGGCGGAAGAGGTTAGCTCGCGCGTACATACATCCCGGGGACGAGAGGGTTTAGCTGCGTGGTACAAACATTCCCCGGGGTGATGAGGTTAGCTGCTTGTGTACAAATCCCGGAGAGAGGGTTTAGGCTGCGGCGTACAACATCCCGGGGGAGAGGTTTAGCTGCGCGTGACAACATGGCCCCGGGGAGGTGAGGGTTAGCTGCCGTGTTACAACATCTTCGCGCGGGGAGGTTAGCTGCGCGTAGCAACATCCCGGGAGAGCCGTTAGGCGCGGTAACAAGGCATCTCCGGGGAGAGGTTGAGCTGCGTGTACAAGCATCCCCCGGGGAGAGGTTAGCTGCGTGTACAACATCGCCCGGCGGAGAAGGGGTAGGCCTGGCCCGTGGTATCAACGATTCTGGCCGGGGAGAGGGTAGCCTGCGCCGTACAACATTCCCCGGGGAGAGGCTTTAGCGCCCTCGCCGCGTGACAACATCCCCGGGAGGAGCGTATAGCCTGCGCGCTCAACCAACATCCCCGCGGGCACGGAGCGGCCTTCAGCCTGCGCGTGTCGACAACCCCATCCCCGGGCGAGAGGTTTGAGGTCCTCGCTTGCCGCGCTACAACATGCCCGCGGCGGGGACCGCACGCCGCGCGGTTAGCGCGCTGGCTCGTGTTACAACATCCCGGGATGCAGCAGCTTCAGCTGCGTGCCTACAGCCACAATCCGCCGGCGACGGGAGGGTTCCGGCCCCCCCTGCGACGCGTACAACATCCCGGGGAGAGCGGTAGCTGGTCGACCCGTGCTTACAACATCCCCGGGAGCAAGAGAGTTTACGCTCGCGCCTGTACGAACATCCCCCGGGCGCAGATGTCTCAGCCGCCTGCGTGTACAACATCCCCGGGAGAGGTTAAGCTGCGTGTAACAACATCCCCGGGGAGAGGTTAGCTGCGTGTTACAACAGCCCCGGGGAGAGCGTTAGCTGGCGCGTCTACAACATCCCTGGGGAGAGGTTAGCTGCGCGTACAACATTTCCCGGGGCAGGAGGTTAGCTTGCGTGGTAACAACGATCCCGGGGCAAGAGGTTTAAGCTGCCGTGCTACAACATCCCCGGGGAGAGGTTTAGCTGCCGTGTTACAACATCCCCGGGCGAGAGGCTTTAGCTGCGCGTACAAGCATCCCGGGTGAGAGGGTTAGCTGCTGCGTACAATCATCTCGGGGAGAGGTTAGCTGTCCCCCGTGTAAACATCCCCGGGAGAGTCGTTAGCTGCGTGTACAGACATCCCCGGGGAGAGGTTAGCTGGTGCTACAACATCGTCCCGGGGAGAGTTTAGCTGCCGCGTAAGCAACATCCCCGGGAGAGCGTTAGCTGCGCGTACAACATCCCCGGGGACGAGGTTAGCTGCGCGTACAACATCCCCGGGGAGAGGTTAGCTGCGCGTACAACATCCCCGGGGAGAGGTTAGCTGCGTGTACAACATCCCCGGGGAGAGGTTAGCTGCGTGTACAACATCCCCGGGGAGAGGTTAGCTGCGCGTACAACATCCCCGGGGAGAGGTAGTCTATAGATTACAGCAAAAACTTGCCGTAACGCGACGGTTTCCTCGGCGGTTGACAAAATAGGGGAATTACGCTGGTTAACAGCCCCGGGTAATCGGGGTGGCGTTAGCGTTAACAATGTATGGATTATTGAAATCCATGCTCTCGTGAAGGGGCCGCTATAGAAATAGCCGCCGAGGCCGTCCGTTCTCGATCACTTACCGTCTCTTTATGCTGGGCCTGAGCTAGTAAAGCTAGTACCCACATCAGTAGCCATAACGCTCGTTAGCCTAAGTGGTAACGTGCTGGCGGGCCTTCTCTGAGAATTCCCGGATGTTGTTATCCCGCAGGTATGCTTTCGGCCTTGGCAAGAGATACGACGCCAACGCCTTCTCATTCGGTCTCGGCAAACGCGGCGACAACAGCGCCCTCTCGCCGGCGGACGACTACAGCGACGAGCAGAAACGCGTGGACGCCAACAGCTTCGCGTTTGGTCTCGGCAAGAGGCGGTGAAGCGGCGCGCAGTAATACACGGCGCGTCGGTGGTGCCGTTGCCAGGCGATCGCGGCCATTTTGTACAAACACCCTTCTTCACACGAAATCGCGACACCGGTATATGTGACCATTATAATAAGGAGCAGATCCGCTAAGAGATGTACGCTCGCATGCAAAACGAGAAGAATTTCCTTCGCATTTGACGCGGCGCGGTAAAACGACGTAGGAATCGTGTTCATTTCCGACGCGGAATGATTCTAATTTTCGGGATGGAAAGACGGCCGACCGCCGAACGAGTGTGGATAGCAGATGAGCCATGCATGTTCTTCGACGAATTGTGAAAGAATATATCTATGTGTGTTAGCTGCGGTTCTATTGCCATTACAGATGTTTTCACTTTCGCGTCAACTCTGCAAGAAAAATAAAATGTCACAAAAAGACCGGCGCAGAAACGTCAGACGCAGTTTCGCATATTTAATTACCGCGATTGTGAGTTCATAATATTTAAATTGCAATTACCGAGTAGATGTTTGCCTTCTGGATGGAACTGTTTGAATAATAAAATGAAAAAAATAACGTTTTGCACGGGGAATAATATTTTAATCACATATATGCCGACGCTTTGCACACATCTATACATGTAACATTGATGATTAACATTTCCCGCAGCTTGAAGAGAACGAATGCCTCCTAATTGAAAAGATGGCGGCTCACGCGTCACTCACGAGTTGGTGCGTGTCTATGTGAACTTTTATTAGCAACCGCGCTATCACGGTGGATCCGAACCGGTATTTTCGCACGTTTGACCGGTCAACGAGTCTGCCAGCCCCGCAGTATTTCGCTCATCTGTCCAGCTCGGATCGTGTGCCCGAATTTCACTCGGAAAATTAATCATGTCTCATAAAATGCTGACTACGACGGCGGACTTCTTAAGCGCATGTTTATAGACACCTATAAAAATGTCATGAACGATATAATCACGTTCATCGGATATTTAGGTAATGAATGATGGATAATTAATTAAGGTGATGCGCTAGTCCATACCCCTTACCTTGGTGTAATTTCCCGCGGATTTTCTAGTTATCTATTTTTGTTTGTAGTGAAACATTTACTCCGTCTTATTTGTGAAAATTCGCAAATTTTTGTCGAGTTATTTCTGTGTGGCAGAGTGCACGCACCTGCCACAGTTAGATTAGTTCTCGGAGTCATGTGACCTGCACCACCGGTTCAAGAATTGTAGAGATCTGATGCGCCCGCTAAATTCCTATTGGCTTTTATAGTCAGATGGCCCCCATCTGAAATTCCGACCATTGTACGAAGATGGCAAAGTTACTGTAGCGCTCGTTTCGATCTCGCCGGAATTTCCCGGACATTGATGAAGAAAGCATTGATGTTTACATTCTTTACTTGTATGTATGTGCGTGTCTATTGAGAATCTCGCTCACAGCAGCTGTTACGTTGCCATGGTAATTCTGTTACGCGTTAATAACATGATCCATCTTTCCTTCTCTCTCTCTCTCTTTCTCTCTCACGCTGCCTCCCCTTCTCTTTCTTCTTCCCTTACTCTCCTCCCTCTCCGTTTCTCTCTCTTTCTCTCTCTCTCTCTCTCTCTTTCTTTCTGTCGCTATCTCTCTCTCACAAACACAAACACTTCCTCTATCTCTCTCTCTCTCTCTCTCTAACTTCCTCTATCTCTCTCTGTATAAGTATACACACATATATATATTGAATAAAGCCTTGATCCCGTATGGATCGCCTTGTATTTTTTATTCGCAGTCGTTACACGTTTCATTTTGATACGATGCAAAAAAACTTGCTATATACGAGCTCTATCCAATCACATAAAAATCATCTTGGTTTTTCATTTTTTTATCGCTCCCTGATGCCAGAGCACAGAGCTTGCATGTGTGGGGTAGCTATAGATGGCGCATGCGTCGTAGCTTGTATGTACACCGCGGTGTGTGTGTCTGCACCCAAAAACATCAGACACCGACACACACGGCCGAATACACGCATGCAGGGGCCCGAAGCTGCTCGCTATACGATATAATAGTAATCTATAGACGTTGTAGGGGAATAAACGGCGAGTACGTTTTACAAAATCATCGGCTGCATTTTTCTTCATTTTTCTTCCGTGCACGCACGAATATGATATACGGTAATTGGACGCGAGTGTCCTTCATAGGGTCATAGGGTCGCGTAGCTTCTTCATATAGCGTAGGGCATTGCACCCAGCGTACGTTAATAGCCTGCAGGAACCCAAGTATCTGCATATAGCGTAGGGAACCGCACTTAATCTACGTCAATACTGTATACGGTCAGACAACAACGGGCTTGCATTTCTTCGAGGGTTTCTCCATGTGAGGCTCGAAGCTATATCATCACGGACTTGTGTTTGTTCCGAGGGAGAGAGAGGGAGAGAGAGCGGGAAAGAAAGAGAGATTGTGCGAGAGAGAGAGGGAACCGATAGAAAGGAAAGGGAGAGGGGGAGAGACGTAGAAAAAGCCCGGTCAGCGGTCCAACTTCGATAGAGAGAGTCCTGAGAACGAAGATGGTCAGCGGTCAACTCTGCAGGACCACACATAGCGGTGTGAGAATTCATAGTGCTGACTTTAGTATTGACTTCACGTGGAAACAGTTTCGTCCCTGCAGAGTATTGTACAGTACCCTGGATGGAGTAGGCCTACCCGAGTTTCATTGTGCTGAAGTACTACTATATTGGCGTATTACATGCGCTAGTGGTACCAGCTGTGGCCCATACCGACGTATACCCCATTCGTATATATATTCGTATATAATATATATATATATATATATATATATTCGTATGTAATATAGATTCGTAAAGAAACAACACAAAATACTCACATTATAAATTGACAAAAAATTTAAACCGTTCAACTGAAATCTCCATCCGAAATTAAACATATCAATCCACTACTGAGTATTACTAAAACAGTAGCACCTACTAATAATATGGAAAAGAGGATTAAATTGTCTAGAATAACAAATATACCTACTAAAACCGCTGAAAAGTTATCCAATAAACATTTAAACAGTATCGACAACCATTAAAAAATTCAGCTATGCGTACAAAGCACACATGATTCAACAGTACACTCCTTTATGACTAACTACACCTAGTCAATTTTGATTCTCCTGTTGTTTATTCTAGATATTTTGCTTGTATGTGTTGTTTTGTTCTTTATAGTTTTATTGTTTTTTATACATTCAATCATTGACATGAATTGTAATATAGGCCATTTAAGTTATTCTTGATTACCATGTAAATATTCGATTACTGTACATACTGCTTACTGTACTCTGATACTGATTACTCTTGCATGTAATTATTACTTGTCAAATCTAACGCAAGTAAAGGTGTTATATATGCTTACAAATTACAATTCATTATTTTCCTATCTTATGTGACTGCTTTATATATTATTCTTGATACGTATATTTCTTTATAATTATGCTATATTTCTTTTCTAACCTATGTATGTTCAGTTTGAAAAACCGTTTTGTTTGTTTTGTTGTTTATTTTGATTAGTTTTTCATACATTTAATCATGATATTGACATAAATTTTAATATATACCGCTTAAGTTATTCTTTATTAGCATGTAAATATTCGATTACTGTACTGTACTGATTACTACATATATTTCATTTATGTGTCCAACATATTTTGTACATAACTTTATGTCTGCTGCTTGTTCTATTTCCAATTATGTTCAATTTGGTTTTTGTTTTATTGTTATCATACAAACATTTTGTTTAAATATTTCTCATCATACATCTTATTCTTATGACAGATGCCTTTTTACTTAATTAATTTCTCTAAGGGTTGGCTGACTAGATGACCGTATGGTCTTTTCGTATGATATAAGTTTTGAATCATAGGCCTAACTCGTAATGGAAATTTCCAAGAGAAATCCCTACGAGGAAATTCTTTCAAATCTCTGATGGGAAAATTTTTAATGCACGCGCACGCACACGCGACCGCGCACACGCACATGCACACACGCGCACGCGCACACACACATGCACATGCGCGAGCACGCACACACACACACACACACACACACACACACACACACACACACACACACACACACACACACACACACACACACATACACACACGCGCACACACAACGGAGGATGGGAGATGGAGGGTGGAGCATATGGGTCAAGCACCGCCATGTAATCTCCGCATGCATTTGAACATAAGTGCTGCGCAGATAAATTCTGTAAAACTCGAGCGGTTTTGCGTTAAATGTGATTTTACTGCATCCGTTTAATGTAATTTTAAGGCATCCGTTTAATGTGATTTTAAGGCATCCGTTTAATGTAATTTTAAAGCATCTGTGTCGGGGGTGCCGTCTGCATGGTTACCAGAGCAGCTAATTTCGTAAGCAGCGGTTGTCAGGCAGGTAATTGGGTATTTTAACAATCACGGTGATTAATTAGTGGTTTTAGTGTAATCGTTAAAAGATGCTAGGAAGATAGGAAGATAGGATAAATTTTGTGTCGTTCACTGAGGATGACGATAGCGCGACGATGGTGACGGGACGGCGATTGTGACAGAAAAACGATGACGATAGCGCGACGATGCCTGTAAGAGTTCGACGATATCTTTCCACCTCTCTCGTTCTCTCTCTCTCTCTCTCTCTCTCTCTCTCTCTCTCTCTCTCTCTCTCTCACTCCC